GCATTGGGGTCCTGTTGCCACCAGCAGAATCTCAGTGGGATTGGCACTGAGCCCGACCTCCTTCAGGGACCCTGCAGGGACTGTGAATCATAGCCATTGGGTGGGGCCAGCCACAGGGAGGGAGATCCCTCTTCAGCTCCTGCACAGGGCCCCCAGCCTCTGCCAGGAAACCCTGATGCAAATGGATTCTGTGCCACCAATGGGGCCTCATCCGTGGCCCCTGGGGACCAGGCACTCCTTCAATCAGCCATCAGACCTGGCAAGGCTTGGGCAGCGAGACACCGTGCTCCCCCGATCCCTGCACCACATCTCCCCTGGTCCAGGATGGAGGAACCTTCCCTGTCCACAGCCTGTTCAGGCCTGGGCTTTTCACCCAGGGAGGGGCAGATACCCCGGGGGCACTTTAGGGATGGGGAATGAGACACTCTGTTCTAATGAGAAGAGATATTAGACAGATATTAGACAACTTCGCCACCGTATGGGTAAGAGGGAAAAGACCCCGTATCCCATTCCCCACCCCCTGAGCCAGCAGATCCGCCTGTTCTGGGGCCAGATCAGAGCTAGCACCCCCTAGGGGGGAAAGGCCCTGTGTCCCATTTCCCATTCCCCAAGCAAGGCAGCTTCCTCACCTCTCCACTTGACTCCATCATCCCCCTCTCCTGAGTCCCACAAGTTTGGCCAGGTCTGGAGTCCATCTTACAATGACCTTCATGGGAACCCCCCCCTGCCCTGGGGGGGAAGCCCAGTCTGATTGACTGCCTCTCCCACACCCCTGCTGGGGGAAGAGCAGCCAATCAGAGCTGCTGCAGTAAGTCCCTTCTCCTCCCTCTCCCTGAGGTAACATGACACCTTCACATGGGATGGGTAGGGGAAGAGGGAGCAAAATTTGCTCAGTATCTCAGCGTGGTTCCACTCCCTCCTTCCCCACCCCTCTTGTGAGCAATGGGACAGCATGGTGTCCCTGTTCACCCCTTCTCTGGGACACGCAGCCTGGGAAGGGCAGAGGGGAGCCTGCTGCAGCCCCCACAGGGCTGGGAGGGGTGGGAGAACACCAGTAGGTGCAGAGGGGAAGCTGGGAGGGGGCTGGTGGGGGGCTGGAGACAGAGTTGATGGGTGCCTGTGTGGTGGCAGAACTGATGGGGAAGACTGATTTGCTGGGCAGCAGATGGGCAGATATGGGGATAGGAGCTTCTGCAGTGATGCCCATCTCACCCTAATAAATCTGGGAGTGTTGGCAATACTGATCATGTCACATCCAGGGGTCAGGGGCCAGGGAAGTTTAGCTGTCAAGGGAGACCAGCAATCACAGTGTCATAGTTTTAAAAAACCTCATGATCTTAAGGCCATCTCGTAAGTCTGAGGTGTCACTCTGATCGCTGACCTTTGGGGCTTGGCCCTGCTGCTCTCTGCCCCCTCCAGGCTGGACCCGGACATGAGGGTCTCGTCCCTGGATGTCTCCCACTCCGACCTGCTGAATGAGACGTGGGTTTTTGGGGGGAACGAGAAAAGCAGGAAATACCTGGCCAGCCTGATCCGCCACTTCCCCAGTGTCTGCCTGCTGGATGCTGCTGGTCACCCGGTCAGCTGGATTGCTTCAGACCTGTTTGGTGCCATGGAGCCTGGCTACACTCTGCCCCAGCACCGGCGGCGCGGCTACATGGGGATGCTGACTAATTTGATAGCCAAGCGGTTGCACGCACTAGGCTATCTCAGCTACGGCTTTGTGGCCATGGAGAACTACCCCATGCAGAGGTTGCAGGAGAGGCAGGGCTTCCAGCGCCAGCCTAGCCTGTGCTACTTCATTCTTCACAACACAGCACTGGCAAAAGCCCCCACGTTAACCCCCAGCCCAGCACTAGGCACAGCCCCTGTGTGAGTCCAGAACCAGGATAGGGGAGTCTGGGGATCATTGTTGGCCAAGTGGAATCAGTAACATCTCCCAGCTCCAGCCTCACATGGGGCCTGCTACCCCCAGCCCCACAGGCATTGCCCTCCCCCACAGCCCTCTACCCACCTTTAGAGAGTCTGTCCTACACTCCCGGGCCCATAGCCTGCCCTCCTTGATGGACCCTACCACCCCAGACCCATACACACAGCACCCCTGTCCCACTTCCCTACACTGCCCCATCCTAGTTCCTCTTCCAGACACTCCAATAATGGCTCAATGATCTTCCATCCAATCTAGCTACGTGCTCACCTGCCTCCTGCATCTGCTCTGCTCCTCCTCCCCCGCTTCTCCTGGGGCATCCTGCTCAGCGTATTACATCTATAACTCCTCCACAGTCAGTGTGTCACCCTCCCCGCACCCGCCAGAGACATCTTCCCCGGATCTCTCTCTCCCCCGTTCCCTGGGGCTTGTCACGTCTCTTGCTGTTGCACCCTGCTCTCATCAGCTCTTTTCCCATCTCCTGGATTATACACGCCGGGGCAGCTTTAAGTGGGGTGGGACGGGCTGGGCAATAGGTCCCCATTCAGCAACATCTCCTTGAGCACAGCGTGCCTGGCATGATGCTTCTAACCCATGATGGATCTGGCTGTTCCCCATTGATACTAACCAGCCCGAGAGTGTTCCCCTGCCAAGGACTCCCTCAAGGGCCAGTCTGTCTCAGTAACTCAAGGGTTAAATACCTCCCAGGGATCTTGATTATCCTCAAACCAAACTTCACTATCCCCATGGACTCCCGGCCTGAGGTCACATCCAAAAGCAATCCAGATGTGTTAAATTCAGTACCACACAGCCAAGACACCCAAATCCCGCTAACTCCACCCACCGGCATTGACCGATAGCAGGAAGTGTTTCTGGTTTCCTGATCCCAGCTGCAATTAAACTGATTTCCCCTTTGCGGCGGCACTCCCTGGCATGGCTGGGACCATGCGGGCGAGGGGGAAGGTAGAAATACAGCTAGGGCCACACAACTGTTTCCCATTTTTCAACCCACTTTTCAAATGAAACTTTCCCAAAAAAGGTTCTGCTCATTCCCAGTGTCGGCTTTGTGTCCAGGCACTGAGGGCCTGAAAACCAAAGTGTTCTGGGTGCGTAATCCGGTCTGCGGAGTGGTGTCCACAGGAACAAGGGTCAGGTCAAATATCTAGAGCTTCCTTTTGAAAACTAACCAACAGCACCTGTTGGAGCCACCCCACCAAATTTCTAGGATCACTAAATATCTTCCCTGGGGAGACATTAAGAGGCAAACTGAGAGTGTATGACACAAAAAGAGCTTTGTTAGTGGGGATGGGGAAACCAGCACCCAACTGGGGAGAGCTCAGCAATAACAGCTCACCTATCTGTAGTTATGAATAATAAGTAAACAACCAGTCCTGCCCCTTAGGGTATGTCTACACTACGAGAGTAGTTCGATTTTACTTAAAGCGAATTTCTGGAACCGATATTACAAAGTCGAACGTGTGTATCCACACTAAGGACAGTAATTCGACTTTGTGAGTCCACACTAACGGGGCAAGCGTCGACATTGGAAGCGGGGCACTGTGGGCAGCTATCCCACAGTTCCCGCAGTCCCCGCTGCCCATTGGAATTCTGGGTCGAGCCCCCAATGCCTGCTGGGGCAAAAAATGTGTCAAGGGTGGTTTTGGGTAACTGTCGTCATTCAACCATCACTCCCGCCCTTCCTGCGTGAAAGCGCCGGCGGGCAATCAGTTCGCGCACTTTTCTGGTGATTGACAGCGCGGACGCCACAGCACCGCGAGCATGGAGCCCGCTGCGATCATCGCTGCAGTTATGGCCTTTGTCAACACCTCGCACCTTATCATCCACCTTTTTCAGAGGCAGATGCTGAGAAATTGGGCGAGGAGGCTACGGCAGCGCGCTGAGGACATTAAGTCTGAGAGGCGCACAGACCTCTCACAAAGCATGGGACCCCCGCACCGTGAACATCATGGTGGCAATGGGTCATGTTGATGCTGTGTAACAGCGATTCTGGGCCCGGGAAACAAGCATGGACTGGTGGGACCGCATAGTGCTGCAGGTCTGGGATGAATCACAGTGGCTGTGAAACTTTCGGATGCATAAGGGAACTTTCCTGGAACTTTGTGAGTTGCTGTCCCCTGCCCTGAAGCGCAAGGACACCCGGATGCGAGCAGCCCTGACTGTCCAGAAGCGAGTGGCCATAGCCCTCTGGAAGCTTGCAACGCCAGACAGCTACCGGTCAGTTGCGAACCAATTTGGAGTGGGCGAATCTACCGTGGGGGTTGCTGTGATGCAAGTAGCCAACGCAATCGTTGAGCTACTGCTCTCAAAGGTAGTGACCCTGGGAAACATGCAGGTGATCATAGATGGCTTCGCTGCGATGGGATTCCCAAACTGTGGTGGGGCTATAGATGGAACTCACATCCCTATCCTGGGACCAGCCCACCAGGCCAGCCAGTACATTAACCGAAAGGGCTACTTTTCAATGGTGCTGCAAGCACTGGTGGACCATAGGGGACGTTTTACCAACATCAACGTCGGATGGCTGGGCAAGGTTCATGATGTTCACGTTTTCAGGAACTCTGGTCTATTTAGACGGCTGCAGGAAGGTATTTACTTCCTGGACCACAAAATAATTGTTGGGGATGTGGAGATGCCTATAGTGATCCTCAGGGACCCAGCCTACCCGCTAATGCCCTGGCTCATGAAGCCCTATACAGGCGCCCTGGACAGTGAAAAAGAACTCTTCAACTACCGGCTGAGCAAGTGCAGAATGGTGGTGGAGTGTGCTTTTGGATGTCTGAAGGGGAGATGGAGAAGCTTACTGACTCGCTCTGATCTCAGCGAAACCAATATCCCCATTGTTATTGCAGCTTGCTGTGTGCTCCACAATCTCTGTGAGAGCAAGGGGGAGACGTTTATGGCGGGGTGGGAGGTTGAGGCAAATAGCCTGGCTGCTGATTACGCCCAGCCAGACAGCCGGGCGATTAGAAGAGCCCAGCGGGACACGCTGTGCATCCGGGAAGCTTTGAAAGCTAGGTTCCAGAGTGTGCAGGGTAACCTGTGACTATTAAGTTTGTTTAAACAGAAGCTGAACCTGCCCCCCTTTCTTTACCCAGTTAATGTTGACTATCCTCTCCAGTTACCAATCCCCTTCCCCCCCTTCCAACACACCTTTAAAAATAAAATAAATGAAACTTTGTTCATTAACACCGTTTTCTTTATTAAGGATTTCGTGGTAAAGTGTTGAAACTGGGATGCAGACTGTGGTGGGGAGCGGGTGTAGTGATGGAAAGGACGCTTCTAAACTCGAGGAATGACAGGCTCCTGCTCCTAGAGCAGTCCGCAGTGGTGGACTGGTTGTTTCAACGGAGCCTGCCACCCCTCCTTTTCGGGACTCTGTGTGTGTGGGTTATGTGACTTTGTGGCGGGGGAGGGCAGTTACAGAACTTATGCAGCGGTCCTTAGCCTGGATGACAGAGCCACGCAGCAGGGGGTCTGTAACCGCCCTCCCCCACCACAAAGTCACATAGCCCCCTCCACCACAGAACATGAAAACCACCTCCCAGACTGACCAGGGTGCCTAGTGACTGCAATGTGTGTGTGACCTTCTGCTGAACCTGCCCCCGTGTCTGTACCCTGGTAAAGGTGACTGTCCTCTCCAATTACCAACCCCTTTCCCCCCCTTCAAACACACTGTCCTCTAAAAGAACATGACGGAAACAGTAATTAACAGAAACGTATTTTTTATTAACAACTACACAGTTAGGGGATGAAACTGGGACGGGGGCTTGGGTGAGGTGCTTTTGGAGTGAAGGAAAGGACTTATCAAATCTTTGGGAATGAGAGCCTTCTGCTACTTGAGCAGTCTGCAGGGGTGGAGTGACTGTTTTCACGGCCCCTGCCGCCCCTCCTTCTTGGGACTTTGGGTGAGGGGGGGATGGGACTTTGTGGCAGGGGAGGGCGGTTAGAGATAGAATGCAGCGGGGCTCTGTCCTCCTGCCTCCAGTCCTGCAGAACATCTACAAGGCGCCGGAGCGTGTCTGTTTGCTCCCTCATTAGTCCAAGCAGCGTTTGAGTCGCCTGCTGGTCTTCCTGCCGCCACCTGTCCTCCCGTTTGCTGTGTGATCGCTGGTATTGCAACATGTTCTCCCTCCACTGGGTATGCTGTGCCGCCTCGGCTTGGGAGCAGCCCATAAGTTCTGAGAACATCTCGTCCCGTGTCCTTTTCTTTCGTCACCTGATCTGCGCCAGCCTCTGGGAGGGGGATGCCGGGGTAACTCGGGAGACACTCGCAGCTGTGGATGGGAAAAAGGGAGTGAATTCCTCACAAAGATACAGTTTTGCGAACAATGAATATAGTCTTTCTCTGTGAACAAGACCATGCACAGTACCTATCACATGTGCACTCAGTACAAGGTCAAATTTTCGGCCTTCCCATTGAGTGCCTGGGGTCTTGCTGTACAGATCACACAAGCGGGGCCGGACAACGGAATTCAGCTAGCAGGCGGACATGGTAAGCCGTAGACTTTTGGCTGCTTAAAGCTTAATTTATAGCAGTGCCCTCCTTTCACGTTCCAAGCAATGCTCCTAGCGTTGGCCAGTTCCTGCTGCCGGCAATCCGACCAGCATGAACTCTGCCCCTGTCCCACCTCCCTCACGGCTGTCCCTGAGAAAGATCCCTGCATGCTGCCCCTGTCCCGCCTCCACCGCGTGGCTGTAAACCGCCGGTTACAGTTATGTAAAGGAACAGGTAATCAGTCCCAATACTAACATTCCCCTAATTCAAAGCAGGTCACCATGAGTGATATCACTCTGATGAGGATTTCGGAGACAGAGAAAGACCGCATGCTGCGTGAATGCCAACAAACACCAGGGCCGTATGCCGCCATGCTTTGCGAGGCAATGAACCCGGAGTACTTGCTGCTAGCCTGGCGCGGAAAAGTTTCCTACAATGGAGGATGCAATAAGGCCGCTCTTCCCAGGAACCTGATGCAAAGGCTTTCACAATACCTCCAGGAGAGCTTCATGGAGATGTCCCAGGAGGATTTCTGCTCTATCCCCGGACATATTGACAGAATTTTCCAGTAGCTGCACTGGCAAGGACTAAAAACTAAAGCGCTTAGGGCAAACTAATCATGAAAAACCCATTGTTAAGATACCATTCCTATTCTGTTCAAAATAAATGTTTAAAACACTTACCTACTGATCCTTCCCCTGATTCACGGTCCGGGTTACCGCCTTGGGAGGGTTGGTAGGGGATCTCCGTGAGGGTGATGAAGAGATCCTGGCTGTCGGGGAAATCAGCGTTGAAAACGCTGTCGACTGCCTCGTCCTCCTCATCTCCTTCCTCATCTTCCCCATCCGTGAACATCTCCGAGGAAGTGGCCGTCGACAATACCCCATCGTCAGAGTCCACGCACAGTGGTGGGGTAGTGGTGGCGGCCGCACCTAGAATGGAATGCAGTGCCTCGTAGAAACGGCATGTCTGGGGCTGGGATCCGGAGCGTCCGTTTGATTCTTTGGTCTTCTGGTACCCTTGTCTCAGCTCCTTGATTTTCACGCGGCACTGCGTTGCATCCCGGCTGTATCCTCTCTCCGTCATGGCTTTGGAGATCTTCTCGTAGATCTTCGCATTCCGTTTTTTCAATTGCAGCTCCGAAAGCACGGACTCATGGCCCCACACAGCGATCAGATCCAAGACTTCCTGATCAGTCCATGCTGGGGCCCTCTTTCTATTCTGCGATTGCACGGTCACCTCTGCTGGAGAGCTCTGCATCGTTGCCAGTGCTGCTGAGCTCGCCACAATGTTCAAACAGGAAATGAGATTCAAACTGGCCAGACAGGAAAAGGAATTCAAATTTTCCCGGGGCTTTTCCTGTGTGGCTGGTGGCTGGTCAGAGCATCTGAGCTCGGACTGCTGTCCAGAGCGTCAACAGAGTGGTGCACTGTGGTATAGCTCCCGGAGCTATTAGCGTCGAATTCCATCCACACCTACCCTAATTCGACATGGCTATGTCGAATTTAGCACTACTCCCCTCATCGGGGAGGAGTACAGAAATCGATTTAAAGAGACCTCTATGTCGAAATAAATAGCTTCATTGTGTGGACGGGTGCAGGGTTAATTCGAGTTAACGCTGCTAAATTCGACATAACCTCCTAGTGTAGACCAGGCCTTAGTGTCTCCAGCTGTGTCCTCTGATTCAGTTCCCCGCCCACAACCACAGAACAGATGCCCTTTCAGCAGTGGTTTCCCCCTCCGCTGCTCCCCACTCATAGTTTGGTGTCAGCTGTTGCCTCCTCCCAGATCCTGGCATCAGACAGGCCTGTGCCCTATACTTTGAGAAATGCCAGCTGGGCCAGCTCCCAGGCTCCACCACCCCACCCAGCTCTGGTGATTTCAGCCTCGTTTACGTGGGGTAAGGGAGGGCTGACCAGGGTTCCCTCAGCCCTGCTGTCACCCTCTGCCACTTTGGCAAAGGGCCACCTCGGTGCTGCCTCCCAATGAAGAGTTTTCTGACTGCAAATCTGACCCCCCCCCCCCCCCCCCTCCCCATATCTCTAGCAGATCCATGGCGCCTCGTTCAAAGCCGTTCTCACCCAGCCAGAGACAGAAGTGTCACCCTTCAGTCACCACGCTGCACCCAGGTGGCCAGGCTGGTTCAGGGTGTGAGGAATGGGACACGGGGCCTTTTTTCCCTCAAGGGGGCCTCCGGACAGAGGCCCAGCTGACTTGGAGTGAGTGGGGTGGAGGAGCGGGCAAATCAATCATTCCATTGGGAGTTCCCCTTTAGCCTTTCGGCTCTGTGTCTCCCACAGCAGGTGGCATCAGACAACTCTGACTTCTACACCAACATGTACGCAGAGTTCTACCAGGCTCTACTGGGCAGCGCGGACGTGATCAACTGAGGTTAGGCCTTCTGCATCCATGGCAATGTCTGCAGCTGCCTCCTCCTGAGCCCCACAGTCACTGCATGACCCCCCCCACCATCTGGGGCCAAACTCCAGCAGACGCTGACACTGCCAGACCCTGAGTCTCCAGGTCCCCACATTTCCCACCAGGCTGCTCCCATGTGCCCCATGGTCTCAGGATTGGCTCGTTGGTGCAGGCTCCCTTTCATGAGACCGGCATGCCAGTGGGTCAGCTTGGTCCCCTCTCCTCCCCACATTCCAAGCTGGGCCTCCAACAGCCACGTTCCCCATTCAGGGCTGCCACTGCTCAGGGCCGGTCGCCACCTCCTGCAGGGCTCCAGGATGGGATGTATGAGGCCTTGAGAGACATCACCGGGGGTGGAGCTGGAGGTATCCAACTACTTCACCTACCTCCACTGGATCTCAGCATCATGCCTGAGATCTGGTCAGTGTCTGCCTGGGGGTGGGCACAGTGGGGTGGACAGAGTCACTGGAAGGCCCACAGACTGTCCAGCTAGCCCTGTTCCTCACCCCATCTGGGCCCCAGGCACAGGGGCTCGTGATGCCAATGGCAGTATCGCACTGGGATTGGCACTGCCCACACAGCCTGCTCTCTGGCTGCTCAGAGACCCCGCAGACACTAGACAGCTCAGGCACATGGTGTATGTGGGGGGGACTACTGATTCCCCAACACCAGAGGTGTCGTTTCAGAAAAACTCAGGGGGCAGGAAGAGCAAAGCTGTGTTTGAATATTACAGGCGATCCTGTATCCTGAAAAGCCAGGTGGGGCAAAAAGTGGAGCAGATAGACCCAGCTGTGCAGGCAGGGCAAGCCAAGGTCTAGAGGGGCAGCCCAGGCAGAGCACACCCCAGAGCCAGTGACAGCTGCTGCCTTGAGCCCCCTGACCCAGCACCAGCCACCATCTCCTACTTAAGTCCCCTTCCCCAGCAAACCCCATGTGGCAGGGCTGAGGGCCAATAGCGTGGTCAGGAAAATCCAGGGCTCCGCATTGGGCCCCATGGAACTAGAAACATCTGCCGTCTCTCCAGCACCAGTCTGTAACATAGCACATACCAGCCTCATGGGGGGGGGGAGGGAGCTACCAAATCCAGCCTCCATTTTGGTCAGGATCAGGGGATTTTAAAAATTGTAAACTTCATGGTTCCAGATATTTGAATCTGAAATTTCACGGTGTTGAAATCGTGGGGGTTCCCGACCCAAAATGCAGCCGTGGGGCCAGGTTGCAAGGCCATTCTAGAGGGGGTCCCAGCATTGCCACCCTTAGTTCTGAGCACTGCTGGCAACGGCACTGTCTTCAGAGCTGGGTGGCCAGAGAGCAGCAGCTGCTGGCCGGGAGCCCAGCTCTGAAGGCAGCGTTGCCACCAGCCGCAGCACAGAAGTGAGGGTGGCATAGTATGAGAGGGGTCATCGCTTTTTTGGGTGAGGAAGGGCTGATCTTAGGGGAGGGCAACAGCCCATGGTGTCATGGTCAGGGAGGTGATATGCGCCCTGTGACAGGACAGGGGTAAAAACCCCTTTAAAGCCCTGCCAAAATGCTAGCTGCAGTCTGCTCTCTGGTCAGGATGCCAGGGTAGAGACACAGGTATTCAGCAGGGAGCCCAGCTGCAAGCCCTAATCAGGTCTGGCTCAGAGGAACATGCTGAGCTGAGTGCTGACAGCTGAGCTGAGCCACAGAAGGGCTATGTAAACCCTGAACAAACCTCAGAGGAGGCTTGACTGGGAGGAGACAGGAAGGTAGTATTACTGTCATCTTACCAAAGGGGGAAGCCTCTGGGACAGGAGACCCTGGGGAGGGTCTAGGAAGAGCGCTAGCTGTTGGGAGACTGGGGAAATGCACGAATGTTGTAAATAAAGAGTCGACACTTGGGTGATCCAGCAAAAGAAGGCGTGGAAGGCTCTTTATTATACCAGCCTAAACACAGGGTGCAGGCATAAAAGTGGGAGAGCCAGCAAAGAACCCTGTGACACTCCCCCTACATTCAGCCATCCCAAAGTTCCTTAAACCTCTGAGTGCTGGGACTGGATCCAGGGAGGGACAGGGCTGGGGGCTCCCCGGCCCGGGGCTCCTACCACATACTGAGCTCCAGCTGCTACTCCCAGTCAGGCTGGGGAAGGACGGGTCTTCCTCTTCCCCTGCTTGGGCTGCATCCTGGACCAGGTCAGACCCATCTCTAGGATTATCTGTTGGTGGCAGGAAGCTCTGTGGCTGATGGCTGGGAGCCCAGCTCTGAAGGGAGCACCACAGCCAGCAGCAGCTCTCAAGTGAGGGTGGCCACCCTTACATTTGTGCTACCACCACCAGCAGCACAGAAGTAAGACTGGCAATACCATATCATGCCACCCTTACTTCTGCACTGCTGCCAGCAGTGGCGATGCCTTCAGAGCTGGAAGGCCCAAGAGCACTGGCTGCTGACTGGGAGCCCAGCTCTGTAGGCAGTGCTGCCACCACCAGCAGCACAGAAGTAAGGGTGGCATAGTATGGGGAGGGCTGTCACTTTTGGGAGGATGGTACAGGTCCAGCCTTATGAGTGGACAACCCCCGGGGTGCTGTGGCACGCACACAACCAGCCCAAGGCCCCTTTAACCACCGAGTGCTAGGTCTGGAGCCGGGAAGGGGCAGGTCTAGGGCACCCCAGCTGAGGGCTCCTCCTGTGCATTAGGCTCTATGCTCCAACCTTCAGAACCTTGCCTGGCTGCAGGAAGCTGCTGCTGGTGCAGAAGTGAGGGTGGAAATACCATACCATGAACCCTCACTTCTGGGCTGCTGCTGGCAGCAGCGCTGCCTTAAGAGATGGGCTCCTGGCCAGCAGCCGCCACTCTCCAGCCGCCCAGCTCATAAGGCAGCACTGCCGCCAGCTGCTGCATGAAACTATGTGGAAATTCCATGACTCCCCTAAAATAGCCAGATTTCCTGGGGTAGACCAGCTTTCACAGTCTTTAATGCATTTTTCACAGCCTCCTGGGGTGGAACTTACCCTAAGTCCTATAAATATAACACCCTGCAGCGCAGCTCCCCTTTGCTGCCCCCTTCCTTAGCTTGTAGACATCCTACCAATTGTAACAGTCTCCCAACCAATAAAGCTGTATGCCAGCCACAGCACACAGGCCAGTATCAATGTGGTTGAATGGCTGTAAGTTCATATCCAACCCTCAGGATAAGTCTGAGAACAAACCATTCTTGCTGCTACAACCTGAGTCTGCCAAAGGGGTTTTTCATCTTATTATTTGGGGGACTGGGGGAAATGTAATTGCAGGACGGCAGAAGACTCAGAAGGTGCTCAAACTAGTAACAAATAAATAAATGCCATATGTGAATGTTTGCTGGGAGGGGGAATTAGGAGGCGGGGGGAATAGGGGTAAAGGGGATTGGGGCTGCAGCAAAGGGAGGGGGATTATGAGGAGATCAGAGGGGTTGGGGGTTCAGGTGAGGGATATTGGGTTCAGGTGATGTGATGGCAGGAGGGAGGCTGAGTGGGTGTCAGTCACGCCCACATTCTTCCCTCCCATATGTGCCCTGGGATCGGGCGGTATTGTCCCTCTGAAGGTGTCTGGAAGCATAATGTGAGCAGAATCTGGGGTTCTCCCCCTTTAGGGGGCTCTGAGCCCCTCTCCCTGCCCCTGTGCATGTGCTGGGATTTGGGGGGACCATCTCTCTGAGGGTGTCTGAGCCCATCTCCCTTCCCCTTGGTGTGTGCCAAGATCTGGGGGTCCACACCCCTTTATATGGTGTCTGGCCCCTCTAAGGGCCTCCCCTCATGTGTGCTGGGATCTCGGGACCCTGCCCCACTAGGGGATATCTGACATTCTTTCCCTGCCCCCCATGGGAGCCGGCATCTAGGGAAGCCCTGTCCCTCTGGCGGGGAGCTGTGTGCAGCCATCCCAGGAGCATGCACCAAAACGACACCACTAGATCCGGATGAGGAACTAAGAACAAGAAAGCTTGGTGCATAACACAAGCTCCCAAGCACTGACCAGGGGAGGGGGGCTGAAAACACCCACTGAGATGAATGGAGCTATTGTCCCAGGCTGTATCGTCTCAATGGCTGCTCTCCTTCAGCGCATACCATCATACCGAGATCCATGGGCCCTATCACAACTGCACAACTCAATGCACAACATGCACAATTCAGTGCTATAATTAGGTGAAATGGATCTCTCAGGGTACCCAGGCAACTTTCCTTTGATCACACACCTGGGGGCAGGAAGAGGGGCTCACCTCTGCCAAGTGGAACAGCCCCCTGAAACCACCTTGTCTCAGGCACAGTTCTGCCAAGCTACTCCAGCTAACCCCTCCCCCTTTCAGTAGAGCGACACCTACACGCTGAGGACAGCTGGTGCCCAGGGGCTCTTGGCAGCTCCGGGGCAGGGTTAAGGACCATGGGCAGGCACCTTAACTCCTCATTGCTTGGTTTTCAGATGGGAGAGTTTTGCTGGGCTCGACATTCTGGAAGGGTGCATGGAACCTCTGGGCAACATTAACTCCATGGTTTGCCGGTGACTTAGCACTGACTGCCTGGCACACAAGGGAGTAGGAGATGTGGACACAGCTCTGCTACAGCTTGGAACAAAGTCACAGTGTGCGAGGGAGGCAACTGTGTTTGTGAGAACCCCAGAGACTCAGCATCCCAGGAAGTCACACGGGAACGCAGAGACAAAAGGAGGGAGAGCCAAGATGGATCCCACAAAGCTGGGGGTATTGAGGCAGTTGTTGCTGCCAACACAACCTCTGCCTTCAGCTCAGCTTTGCCAAGCCAATCTGAGGATTCTCTGATGCCGGAGTCCAGCTGCATAATAAATGTGACACCATGTTGCTGCAGATACAGATTGTACTGCTCCCGGCAGATAACGAACCATGACAGCCCCATGCCAAGGGGTTTCCATCTTGTCATAGGTAGAAACCTGCCCAGCCCAGACCCCATGGCTGCTCCCCAATGCTAATAGGGACCAGGCGAGATCCAGGCCGTGGCATGGGTATA